TGTGTGTGTGTGTGTGTGTGTGTGTGTGTGTGTGTGTGTGTGTGTGTGTATGATTTTTAAAAGAGAAATGACTTTTGTTTGAGCTACACAGGGAACATGAAATGAACAATTCCACAGCCTTCAGACATTAGACTACAGACCTCCTTTGAAAGCCAGCTAGATAAGAAATTTTTCAACTTAAAGTTTATTTGATTGAAATAATCTTTTTTCAAAGCCAAGTTCATTGAACTTTGTGTTTTTAACATCTGGAAACTGGGTTATTGGATTAGAGTTAGGTCTCCATGGCTTTACTGATTTTTCCTAAGTGTTGGGTAGTACTGAACTAATATGTGCAAGGTTATATGACTAAATGTCAGTTAAATGTAAACGTTCTAAGCCCTTTTTTGACGGAGAGGAGAATTTATCCCTTATCCAGGAGATTGTGAGGAAATTAAAACTAAAATTTTGTACTTAATTTTAACAGGTTCTGAATCATAACTCTCTTATCATAACTTTCTTATATCTGTTCCCAACTTCAAATTGTTATTCTAGTTGAACATCAACATTGAACATAATAAATATTATGATTTTAAAGAACGATTGCTTGTTTATTCACTTAGTATATGCAGTATTTTGAGATTTTTGGACCCACACATGTTTTTCTCTGACCCATACTTTGATAATATGATTATATTTTCTAGAGCTGTTGCAAATTAATCATTTTTTTGTTATGCTCCTACTTTTATAAGAAGTGTTTGTTTAACTAGCCATATATAAACAAGTTTATTTTGAGGATTGACTTTCATGTGAATAACTGCCTTCTAGTTAAATATTTTAAATCCCATCTCTTAGAAGAAAGTAAGCTAGCCTCAGAAAGTTTTTTCTTTTTTTTTAAATTTAAAATTAACCATGTAACATAAAGAAGTTTGTAAATGCATGAAGATAAGGACTATATCTTACACATCTTTGTGTTCCCCCACAGCCTCACACATTGCAGATTAATCCGTGCTTATGCAAGATTTAAAGAACATAAAGTGATATAGAAAAAAAAAACTATATGAACTATTGCTTTGAAAGTGACTATGTAAGGATCATCTCTAAATTAGCCATCAGGATAGGCTGACATTTTCCTGTCCTCTTTCCATCCCTCCCCAACCCCTCACCCAGGGAGTGCACCCCAGGGTACATACACCTTTGTGCATAGTATCTGCTGGTTTTATATGCATGAGAAGAAGCAGGCTCAGACCTGCTGAATGCTGGAAAACTTAAGATCATATCCGGCCAGGGGGCCCGGTTTTCTCATTCTTTCATTCTTTTAAAATACAAAGTTATCTGACATACTATTTTACATTTAGCTAAAAGTTGTTCAGTGCGGCATTTACAGAGGCCCTAAAGTGTCAGCCAGTGTATTAGACGGTGTGGGATGCTGTCTTTGCTCAGAGGAAGCTCACAGCGTGGCTGGACCGTGCACGTGTAAACCGATGCTATCTGGTGTCATAGATGCTGTTATACAGAGGGGGTAAGGCACCTCGGAGGGACAAAGGTAGGGTGAGTTACTTCTTCCTTAGGGTCAGGGAAGCCAGGGGCTTCCGAGTTGAGATGAAGAGGAGTTTTCAAGACGGACCAGTTGAGGAAAGGCCATTTAGGACCGAGGGAGAAGCGTGGGCAGGGGTGGGCGATGAGGTTGGAGAGATGATGCAGGGTCTTCAATGGTACATACGGAAGTTTGGGCTTCCTGCTGCAGGCGAAAGGGAATTAAGCTGTGGTATAACATAATCGGGTTTTCATTTTGGAAAATCACTCTGATAACCATGTGGGGAATGAAGTAAGTTATTGGTGCTTCGCTTAGACAATGCTTATAGAACATAAATAGACCAAACATGAAGTTCTCTTCCTCATTGCCCTAAACAAAACTTTACAAAAATCCCAACACATTCACTTCTAGAACAAATGGTTTGTTCTTTGGTTAAGTTATATTTTTACAGTATTTCAGTACTTTGTGTTTAAGAATGATGACTGTCTCCCCGGGGTGACACCAGATGGTCCAGCAACACCAGCAACGCCACTCACCAGTCACTCCTCCTATACCCCTTTCTCTTGGTCTCTCGCATCTAGTTGCCCAAGCCAGCAGCTTAGACTTTTCCTTGGTCCTTCTCCTCTCTCTTGCCCTTGATGCCTATCAGTAAGTCCAGTGGATTCTGCCTCCAAATTGTTCTACTTCTCTGCGTCTCAGTGATGCGACAACCTGCACTCGAGCCCCTAGTGTCTCTCCCTTGGACATTTCCCCATTCTCGCTCTCCTGCTTCAAACATTTCACTAGCTTTTTGCACTTACAATAAAAAGCAAGCTTCCCATGGTGGCCACCTCTCCTGGCTCTAATATCCCTTGACCTCATTTCTTGACACTCTCCTTCTGCTCCAGCTGTTATTTGCCCTCAGAGTGGCCTGCAAACACTTACTCTCTTCTTCCAAGAAGCTCTTCAAATTTGGTGCCTGGCAAATACTCCCTGAACTTAATAGCATAGTGATATCATAATAATAACACTTTCTGCCATTTATTGAATGTTTTCTGTAACCCAGATAGTGTGCTAAGTGCTCTCCAGCCATTATCGTATAATTAAATTAGATGCAACAAGCTTGTGAAGTTGGTATTATTATTCCTGTATTTCAGGAGGGGAAACTGGGACAGATTGTTGAAGCAACTTGCCCAGCTTCCTATTTTCAGTGTGTGGTGGAGCCTGGCTTGAAGTCTGTCTGTCTGACTCCAAATCAAGCTCTTTGGTACGAAATTGCAAAAATATTTTGTTATCGTTAAAAATTTACAATTCCTGGAAGACAGTCTCAGAGCAAGCGATGGGGAAAATCTCTCATTGACACTATATGTAACTTGACTACCTTACTGGTGACAACATATTTTTCTCAATATTTCATGTCTTGTTGATAATAAAAGTATAGTGTAGAAATTGAGAATAAACCCTGGAGTCAAGCAGACATGAGTTTTACCTCAGTACCTGCTATTCATTCATATTGTGTGCTGGATAATTTTTTGGTACTTGAGATACATCAGGGGGCAGTCCGGTGGGATGGATTTAAAATTTTGGTTCTATGAGATGTTTTTGTCCTGGAGACTCACCATCACATTACTGCTCCTTTATGAATTCAGTATAAATGTGACTGACCCCTCTTGGACCGCATCCCAAGGGGATCTATTTGAGTCAGTCCCATGACATGTCTCCTAAGGACAATCTCAGAGGCAGACTATAAGTTTAGTTTGCTATAAGTGTAGTTCCCTTCTCCCTAATGAAACACTGAATTTAACTTTATTAGACGTAATAAACTCAGGTAAATTCTATTCTAATAGGGGTAGCACAATAAACATAACAAACATGCAAATTACATTATACATAGAAGAGGAAAGTAAGTACTTTGTGTGAGGGAGTAAATAAGATGAAATTGGGGATCACGTTGTGGTATTAAATAAGTCAGTGAGGTGCGTCTCACTGAGAAGGTCAAAGACTTGAAGTATGTGAAGGAGTTGGTCAGACAGATATCTGAAGGAAGAGCAGCCCAGGAGGAGAGATTAGGTGGCATCCAGACCTAAGAGGAGTATGCATGGCCACTTAAAAGCAAAGCACCATTGTGGACAGGGGGCCAAAGCGAGGGAGAGATACTAGATGAGGCCGGGGGTTCTAAGTATCTTGTTGGTGATAATGAAATGAACTTCATACATGAAGCACTCAGCACAGAGTCTGGCCCAGAATCACAGAGCCCCTGCCTACCTTCTCCAGCCACATCCCCTGCTGCTCCCGCACTGCAAACCCTACCCTGCATTTATAACTGAAAGTTCTTTGAAGATTCCCCAAATATGCATGCTGTTTTAAACCTTTCTACTTTTGCACCCACCTAAAATAGGCTTCGCCATCCCTTGTCATTCTGATAAACTCCTTTCAGACCCACCCCGGGCTGTCCTCTGGGAAGACTTCTTTGCCTCCCTCTAAAGGAGTGATGCTTCCTTTTCTGGACCACCATGCATAGTGCTTTGACTACATTCGTTAAACTAACACATAGCTAATGATAACATTTAATGAGCACTTACTATATGCCGTGCAATAAGTCCTTTCTATGTTTTTAATGTATTCCTTACAACGACCCTATAAGGTATGTCGCGGTGTCATCCGCATTTTCCAGATGAATAGTAAAGGTGCCTGACACAAAACAATCGCTCATTTATGCTAGGAGTTAAGAATAAAAACCAAGTGAAATAAAATCAAGCCTTTAAATAATTTTTATGTAACAGTTGAAGAAAATAAGAATGATGTGGTTTGGGAAGAAAAAAATTAGTAATGATGAGCTTCCATTTAAACTGATACCTTAGTGTTCCTTCAAAAGTAAATGTTAAGATTTCTGGCTACTGTGTCAGTTGAATAATTGATAATTTCCATATTGAAAAAACATATGTTCCTGATATAATTAGTAGAGTTATACCCTGGGAGGTAAAATACTTCCTCTACACAAGGCAGTGTTACCATCATACTGAATTGTAAGAATTAGTTTGGTGCATGTGTCTCCCATATTATTTGTGACTACTTGGAGGGCAGGGGACCATGTCAGGTTTACCTTTGTTCATGAGGCTTTGCACATGTCCTCCCTTGGTTGGACAGAAAGAAGAAGATATTCTCTCATGTAACTTCTAGGACCTGGGAAATGATATTTAAAATGTCACTGATAGTGTGTCATTAATTCTGAATTTTATTTGGTTCTGAATTTCATTTTAATCATGTTGTTGTGCTTCTGTTTCTCCCCAGACCAGTATTAAAGAGGGACAACTATTGAAGCAAACCAGTTCCTTCCAAAGATGGAAAAAGCGTTACTTCAAACTTCGAGGCCGTACACTTTATTATGCAAAGGACTCAAAGGTAATTTGGAAGGATATGACTTGCAAGCACTTGAGGTTGTGGATGGATTAAAAATTTTAGTTCTATGAACTTTTTGTCTTGGTGCTCACTAGAGCCTTAACCATTCTTCTGTAAATTCGGTATGCGTGTGATCCGTCTTGGACCAAATCCCAAGGGAGTCTATTTAAGTCAGTTTTATGGCGTGTCCATGGAGGACGATCTTATGGAAAGGTTCTAGTATAGTTTTCTTTCTTCCTTTCCTCTTTCCTTACAATTAAAGTAAAACATTAAATGTAACCTTATTAAATGTAATAAGCTGAAAATTTTGGGTTTCCCCCCTTTTCTTGCTACCTTTTATCTTATACATCTTTCCCTGACCATGAGAGAGAGAATTGCTATAGTTGCTAAGAATCTGTCCTCTGGTTTCAGACAAGGGTTTGTATCCCACTTCCAGCACATTCCACAAGAGTGGCTGCAGGCAGCTCGTGTTGTATTGAGGAGGCTTAAATGAGATAATACACAAGGTGCCTGACACAAAACAATCACTCAATTATGCTAGCAGTTAAGAATAAAAACCAAGTGAAATAAAATCAAGGCTTTAAATAATTTTTATATAACAGTTGAAGAAAATAAGAATGATGTGGTTTGGGAAGAAAAAACTAGTAATGATGAGGTTCCATTTAAACTGATACCTTAGTGTTCCTTCAAAAGTAAACGTTAAGATTTCTGGCTACTGTGTCAGTTGAATAATTGATAATTTCCATATTAAAAAAACGTATGTTTCTGATATAATTAATAAAGTTATACACCGGGAGGTAAAATCAAATATGCAAACAAACATAATTCTTAGTTTATGTAGCTGTACAATAACCAAATAAAGTAATCTCATTTTAAAAGTCGTTATGTTCAAGGTTGTCCCTGATCTGGCTCCATGCTGCCTTTCCACATTCATCTCTAGGCAGCACTGACCACTTGATAACCTTGGCCCTGCCCCGTGTTTGCCATCCACAGATGATCTTTCCCTCTGTCTGCACTTGATGAAATTCCCTGTTTTCTTTAAGATCCCCTCAAAGAGTCTTTATTCCATCATTCACAAGAGCAAGAGTTTAAATGTTTTCTGCGGGGGAAATTATCTGTGACCTTCCATATCATTCTGTAGTATTTCTTTTCTTGCATTTTTTCAATAGACCATCTTATATTACAATTAGTCGTTATCTGTTTCTTCTCCTGTGCGAGATTAAAAATTCTTTCTGGTCGGGGAACAAGTCTAATAGTCAGATTGGTTGGAGTGAAGTGGATTTGCACACCCCCTAGGGATCTTGGGGGTGTTGGTAGAAGCTATCAGACAAGGGGCCCCTTTTCTTTCTTTCTTTTTTTTTTTGGTAAATTTAATTTAATTTTTATTAAATTTTATTTAAATTCAATGTAGTTAACATATGCTGTGTTAATCAGTTTCAGAGGTAGAATTTAGTGATTCATCCGTTGCATATAACACCCACTGGTCATTACATCACATGCCCTCCTTAATGCCCATCACCCAATTAACCCATCCCCCCACCCTCCTCCCCTCCAGCAACCCTGTTTTGTTTTCTATGGTTAAGAGTCTCTATGGTTTGGGTGCCTGGGTGGCTCAGTTGGTTGAGCAACTGCCTTCGGCTCAGGTCATGATCCTGGAGTCCTGGGATCGAGTCCCACATCGGGCTCCCTGCTCCATGGGGAGTCTGCTTCTCCCTCTGACCCTCCCCCACTCATGCTCTCTCTCTCATTCTCTCTCTCAAATAAATAAATCTTAAAAAAAAAAGAGTCTCTATGGTTTGTCTCCCTCTCTGTTTTCATCTTATTTTATTTTTCCTTCACTTCCCCTATGTTCATCTGTTTTGCTTCTTAAATTCCACATATGCGTGGAATCATATGGTATTTGTCTTTCTCTGACTTATTTCACTTAGCATAATACCCTCTAGTTCCATCCACGTCATTGCAAATGGCAAGATTTCATTCTTTTTGATGGCTGAGTAATATTCCAGTGTGTGTGTGTGTGTGTGTGTGTGTGTGTGTGTGTGTGTATACACACCACATCTTCTTTATCCATTCATCTGTTGATGGACATCTAGGCTCTTTCCATGGTTTGGCTATTGTGGACACTGCAGCTGTAAACATTGGGGTGCATGTGGAAGGGGCCCATTTGAGGTGCTTTTTTATAGCTGCCGTGCTGCAAGAACATTGAATGAGTGCAAACAATGACCAAATGACTGAGAGTGGGAAGGATATGTTTATTTAGTAGAGTTTCCTAATCTCTAAATTGAACATTATTAAAGATTCCATTTCTGTGGAGTTTTTATCACTGAAACTTTTTGATTGAAACCACTTTTAAGAGTACAAAAGAAACACCATTTTATATTTGCAGAGCAGATTCACCTTCTCATTCAAACCCATTTATGGATGAGGAAAATAAGTTTCAGAAAGTTTAGTAACACCATGATCCGAGCCAGGACAAGGTCTCATTTCTCACTTAGCAAATGTGGGAATGATGATGTTGCCTCTGCCTTCCTGGCAACGTTGTTACAGGCTGTTGCCTGTCCAGAGGTATTACTCTGTGTGTGTGTGAGAGTGTGTGTGTGTGTGTGTGTGTATGCGTGCGTGCACACGCACCACACTGAGTAGGCTCTCCATAAATTATGCTTCTAGAGAGCACAGAGCATTTTATATGGGAACTCTGTGCCACAGGGTTCTTTAAAGACCTTTTCAGTTTGGGATTTATGAGTTAGTTGTACTTTATGGTTTTACTCTTCCTAAGAAGATATTGCAAAGAATCACGAATGACTTTTTATTCACTTTCTATTCCTAATTACTGACACAGCTTCATAGTCATGACCTGATAGCAAAACAAAAAAAAAAAAAAAAAAAAAATTTTTGACCAACAATGAGTTAGGTTTTCATTTAATGTGTTTGTGTTCTTTTTCATTAACAGTCTCTGATATTCGACGAAGTTGACCTCTCAGATGCCAGTGTAGCCGAAGCAAGCACAAAAAATGCAAACAACAGTTTCACGGTATGGTTATATTCTGCTGACATCCTTCTCAAAAGTTATAGAATGACCTTTCCTAAGCATGTACAGAATGTTCTCTTCCGTTACCAACCACGTGTCAACTTAAGCATGTTGGAGTTCCTGCCAACACAATAAACTTGATAAGCATGCTGTATACCAAGTACTGTCAAGAAACCAATGTATTAAATGTATTTTTTTAAAAGTATTTACAACATTTTCCATTTTAGGCCTTTTAATTTTAGTGCTTTAAAATTGTCACCTCTTTTAAGTTTGATACTTCAACTAATTTCCATTGTTTTGGAATACTCAAAAAGTCTATTTCTTACCTTCATTCTTAAAATAATGTTTTCCCTTCTCCTCTACTTTTACTCTATTGCTGTGGTTCAGGCAGCTGCTATGGTTCAGGTCTTCATTTATTCTCACTTAAGTAATTCATTTGATAGCTACTTAAAGAGGTATCCTCTGTTCCAGTTAATTCTTTTCCAATGACAAATCACATTGCTGGAAAGACTTCACTGGCTCACTGTTGCCTGTCAAGTTACATCTGCAGCTCCATCCTCAAGTCTTGTAAAACCATACCTTGGCATTCTAGAATTACTGAGACTGTTCGTCCTTATGCACCCCACCAGTCCAGCATATCTGTTTGTGCCTGGACTTTTCCCATCCCCCTGGCTTCACTGATTCCTCCTCCATCTAAGGCTGTTGCAGTTCTATCAGTTCTTCAGAGCTAATCTCAGATATCTCATTCTTTTTCTACTTCCCTCATTCAAAAAATATGATTTGAATACCCACGATGTGCTGGGCACTTGTGCTAAGCACAAGAGATTCAGAGATGAATAAATAGATTCATCTTGAGGGAAGATTACTTCCCTCAAAATATTCACAATAGAGTTCAGTGAAGTTCTTCCCAGGTAGTTTTTATAGCTACGTATTCCTAGGTCCTCTAAGATGCCTTGCTCTCGCTATGTTGTTGCCCCCATCCACACTCCCAGCCCCTGTTCAAGAAGCTAGCACTGCTGACAGTGGTGTGCTGTGTCCATCTCCTGGGCTTGCCAGGGCAGGGAAGACAGACAGATTTGTTTATACAAACACAGAGCAGTGCCATGATAGAGGTAAGCGCTGGTGGGGGTGGGGCCGGTGGGGGGGAGGAAGCAAATGCATTCAGATTTAGCCATATGGATTTACAGCACGTGGGATAATCCATGGTGTAAATGTTCCTGCCCCTTCCACTGCCCCAGGGAACCTTTAGTTGGAGGAGAGGAAAGCCAAGAATAGAATCCTGGGAAAATGTTAAAATTTAAAGTTTGACCAATAAAGACAGAGCATTCTGAAGTATGGGAGGTGAAGCCTTGGGAGGTGATGATGTTAGGAAAAGCCTGTGGAAGATAGTTTTAGGACGGAAGTTGTTAAACATCAAATACTGTAAAGAGATCAAGTCAAAGAAGAAATGAGAAGCGTCTGTGGAATTTGTTAACATGGAGGTCATTGGGTCACATTGACGGGAATGACTTTGGGGAGGGGTTGGCGTGCATTAGGCTGCCTTGCCAAACAGGTGGGAAGGCAGAGAAGCCGGGGTGGGTTGCTTTTTTGAAAAGCTTGGCTGTTAGAAGAAGGAGAACAAGTATAATATTCAGGCTTCAAAAGAGTTTTGTTGTTGTTGTTGTTCTTTGGCTTTGTTTTTAAAATGGGTTTTTAGTGTGTCTATATGAAGAGAGGAAAGAATTGTTGGACTCGAAAGTTGAAGTGTCAGGAGAGACAGGGGAGAATGGATGGAGCATGGGAGCCAGAGCCCATTTAGAGATTAGCATTGACCAGGAGACAAAGTTTATGGAGGAGGGTGTGTGCAGGAAGTTCGTTTATTCCAAACCCAGATACTACTGTTCTCTCAATGAAATTGAAGCCGAGGTCATCTGCTATGAGTCAGAGTTTACTTAGGTTTGGGTTAGCTTCTGTAGAAAATGAGAGTTGAGGGGTGCCTGAGGGGCTCAGTCAGTTGTGTCTGCCTTCAGCTCAGGTCCTGATCCCAGGGTCCTGGGATTGAGCCCCACGTCGGGCTTTGTGCTCAGAGGGAGCCTGCTTCTCCCTCTCCCTGCCCCTTCCCCTGTGTGTACTCTCTGTCAAATAAATAAATAAAATTACGAAAAAAAAAGAAAGAAAGAAAATGAAAGTTGAAACTGAACAGGGACCTGGAGAAGATTATGAGGTAGTAAATAGTGTCTAGCAAAGATGGAGATCAAGTTTAGTAATGTACCTAATTCCTATGCCTTTCACATTTTTTTTTTTTAAGATGAGGAGAGAGAACAACAGCTAAATTGATCCAGGGCTTATAAAAGATAAAGACATTGTTGGATGTTCGAGGGATAATAAGTCATCCATCTTCCCCTCTGTGTTCTCAGTTCTTGAGAATAAAACATAGGGAGTGAGGGACAGCTTATTTATCACTGAACAGGATCCAACAACCACTAGATTCAGAGCTTCTGATAAATTATTGAAGGCCTAATCAGAGCTTCTGATACATTGTTGCTTCTTTTTCCTTCCTCCCAAATGAAGGTGGGGTAGGGTGATGAACTGCTTGCCTTCCCTAGGGAGCGAACCGAAGTCCTCTCTCCTCTGTGGAGACTCATGGGGAAGTGGGCAATAAGGGTTTCCCCTCAACAGGGATCTAGAATTTAGTCTAAAAGAGGGTTCCAAAATTTAAGATTTGAAGGATGGGACAATTTCAGATAAAGACAAGGTCTAGGGTGCTGGTGTAGATAAAGGTAAAAGAAAGTGGAGAGCTTAGATTTGAGAGAGGGTATTCAAATCCTTTGTATAACTCTTTCTTGGACCTCCAAGTACATTCAGTCTCTCCTCTAGTGCCTTTCTTATTATAGAACTCACTGTAGTCTGCCTTATATTTAATTAGGTACTTACATTTATTATAATCTCCTTGAGGACAGAGACTCTGTCATATCATTTTACCTCAGAGTACCTTATCTGTAAATATTTGCTGATTTAATTAATAAGATGAAAGTTTATTTTACACATGAGAAGACTTCTTGGTGAAGTATTTTCAAGAGATTTATCCACTCAACCAAGTGTTATTTCTGAAGTTTGTTGGAGTAGAAATGTGGAGACTAAAATATTAGGCAGATGCTTAGAGTTTTACAGCAAATGAATTTGGTGGAACTTTCTAGGGCATAAAATAGAATAAGGGAGAGGTTTTCAACCAGTAATTGACAATCTTCCCTATCTTTAAATATTTAAATATCCTACCTTTCTGGATTGCATTGACTGCTATTGATACTGTTGTTTTGGCTAGTTCATGTCAAAGGTTAATGGTGTAGTTTAGTGGTATTATGGCTGGAAGATACAGGAATGGCTAAATTCAGCTTCGCTACAGTCATGCTTTGAAGTCCCTAAGGATGATACATTGACAGGGGACAATAGTAAGTGGAAAATCTGTGATTAGCAAGTGGAAAGTGGAAAAGCTGTGCTTTGCCTGAAAACCCAATGCCAAACTCTCTAGTAAAACGGGTTCGAGAGAGCTCAGCAGAAACTGACTTCCCCTGTGACGTTACTCAGCATCGTCTCTGCCGCATTCTGTCGGTTCTGAATGAGTCACTAAGGTTGGCTGAGCTTCAGGGGAGGGGATCGAGACACCGTGAGAGTGGCGTCAAAGGATTTGTGGACAAATCCTACCTACTCGACGGTTACTTTTCTTTCCTTGCACAGTCCTGTGCTCCCATTCCTGGAGTTAATAATTGTCTTGTTGTTTTGGTTTTCTAAATCACTTCGGGTACATATTAGTTTCCCCTCGGTCACACTGGTGCATCCCGGGGAAGGGTCCCAGCCCTCCTGATGCTTAATCCAGGGCTCTTCCTTTTCACACAGTGAAACCGTCTGGTTAGTCTTTGCCTGTCTTCTCTTCTCACATTCGCTGCTCTCTTTGTCTCTTTCTCACTCATCGTGATGTGTACATCCCAGCTTTTTGTGACTTACTCAATTGCAGACCTTAGACCATGAAGTCAAACAACATGGGTTTGTGTCCTGACTTGGCCCTCTCTAGCTACGTGCCTTTGGACAAATCAGTTAGCCCCTGTGAATCTGTGTCCTCACCTGTAACGGAGGATAGCAGTGGAACCTGTCCCATGGGGTTGTGAGGATTAAATGGAATGGGATAAGGCACTACAATCCCTTGCACCGTGATGAGCACATAGAGTTTACTCAGGGCTAGTGGCTGTTATCATCCTGAAGTTATTGTCCCACCTGCTCCCTTCACAAGTGATAATCTGTTGTCAATTCCTAACAAGTTGGGGGATTTTGAAGGAGAATATGGATGAACTTCATCTTGAGAAAATGTTCCACCCTGCCTCTCTTTCAGAGGTGTGGTGAAGATTTCCTTCCACTTTTATCGCATGTGAATAGATGTTATTGGGAAAAGCAGCCCTTCCGTAATAAATGAAATGTCGATCGTACTTACCTTGTTAGCTATTTGTACATGCTAATGAAGAGCTTTTTAATGAATCGAGAATCATCACAATCACGTGGTATACATTAGACTTTCAAAATGTGCTGTTCAAATGACTGTTTTCTTTAAATTTTAATGATGAGTAGGCTAAATCTTAAGTACATAAGTCATCATTTTTATTTTTATTTATTTATTTTTTATTATTTTATGTTAATCACCATACATTACATCATTAGTTTTTGGTGTAGTGTTCCATGATTCATTGTCTGCGTATAACACCCAGTGCTCCATGCAGAACGTGCCCTCTTTAATACCCATCACCAGGCTAACCCATCCTCCCAGAGCCCCTCCCCTCTAGAACCCTCAGTTTGTTTTTCAGAGTCCATAGTCTCTCATAGTTCGTCTCCCCCTCTGATTTCCCCCCCTTCATTCTTCCCCTCCTGCTATCTTCTTCTTTTTTTTTTTAACATATAATGTATTATTCGCTTCAGAGGTACAGATCTGTGATTCAACAGTCTTACACAATTCACAGCACTCACCGTAGCACATACCC